CGATTGCGATCTATTGCGTTTGAAAGAGCTTGCATATCCGATGCATTGGCACCAATTCTTGGAAGATTTCTGGGGTCCACCACAGGGATATTAGGCGCCAACTGAGATTGTTGGCTTTGTGAAACTATTGAAGTAGGAAAGTTTGCAGCACCTTCAGCAGCTTGTGCGGCAACTTGTTGTGCATGAGCGGCGGCGGCAAAGGTAGCAGCAGCCGCGGCAGCAGCAGCATCAGAATAAAAGTAACCGGAATGGGCAGAGGCAGCTGATGGCATCATGCCTCCACCGTTCTGTGGTTGTTGAGATTGAGGGACGACTTGACTGGGTACTGGTGAACTTGAAGAAGATGTGGATTGTCCGTTATGTGCCGAAGAAGAAAACACTTCTGATATCGGTGGTAAAACGTTCGAGCTGTTGTTATCTGGGGACAAGGTAACTGAAGGGGAAGGTGAAGATCCCGCCTGGATCAAGTTTGGAGAACTATGATTCTGTTGAAGAGGGGACGATTTCGAAACGTCCTGGGCATTCATCGCACTCGTGGTGGCAGAATTGACGGATGGATCGAAACGATAACTCAATTGAGTATAGCCGTTTGTCTCTAGCGCGAAAGAAGAGGAGTCTGTGGGCGAATGCCTTGATATCGATGAAGTCGAAGAATTTCGAGAGTGATGATTGGAAGTGTAAGTTATATGTGTATTTCCGTACACGGCAAGTGGCTGATACTGAGGTGCGGCTGTTTGATACATGGAAGAGAGAATTTGTTGAGGTGTAGAGGAAAAATTCCCGATAGAGATATTGTTGGTCAACTCAAGACTGTCGTTATGAGGGGTTTGTAAAGAAATCATTGAAGTTGGGTTGACGTTTGAAAAAAGAACTCGTTAATCTTTCTGTCGCACTAAACAAATTGCGGACTATTTGTATAGATACCGATGGAGATGATAGGAAAAAGAAATTTACACCCAAGATTGTCGCTGTAGTGATCTGGAAAAAAAAAACGCGAGATGTTTTTTTTTCCTTTTGAATTTGTCCGTGTGGAGAAGTCTTTATGGTCGAATAATTGACGAGTGTGAAAAAAAAAAAAAAAAGGGATCCTTTTTCAATTTATCGTTGTTTGTGATCAACGCTGAGAGTTTCGGAGAAACCTTTCGGAAGTAAGTATACGAATGATCGAAATCTGCTAGTTAACACTTTTGCTTCAAGTCTGTTTATCGTACGTTGGTCTTTTTTTTTTTTTTTGATGGTTTTATATATGAATTGGGTTCTCTTAATGTGCAATAACCTGACTAAAGAAAAAAAGGTGTCATTAAATAAAAAAACAAACTAGCGATTATTATTATATGTGTATATAATATTTTTTTTTTTTTTTTTTTTTTTTTTTTTCTGTTGTTTGAAAAAAGGAACAGTAGATATATATATATAGAAGTAGTTAAACCCTGAGTGAAATTAACAGTACGCACGTATAAATATTTTTTTGTAGTACACACAAATCAATCGAGAAATATAGGGATAATATAAATATTCGGAGGGTCCAAACGACTTATTAAATTACCTAAGGAAATTATGAGAACTCAGCGGTGAAAATTTGGAGATTCAATGGACTTTCGTGAGAAGTATCAACTCTAAAGAGAGAGATGGAAATGGTCTCCTTTTTGTATTTTTTCTGGAAGGACTGAAACACCGTATTAGTTCACAGATATTCGGAGGACAAAATAAAAAAAAAAAATGCATAAAAAAAAAAAAACTTTAAAAACCTTAAGTAATGAACACATAAAATATTTAGAATAGAATGTAGAAATAATAATAACGTACCGAGATCGCAGTTCACATTGTAGAGATCAAAGAGCTCTTTATGTCAGTATATTTTAGGTAATGACGTAACATAAGCTTTGTCCTTCGACAAGTAATTTAACACATATTTTTTTTTTTTTTTTAATCTAATAAATTATCACAGATTTAATACATGAAATATAATTCGTAACAGTAATTGACAGGAATTCCGTTTTAAAAAAAGACTGATCTGAATGATAAATATGTGTGATGATAACTTGTCGGAGCTCATAATGATATAATGGATTTCATCTTTTTTTTTAAATTAATAATATTATTATTAGAAAGTCAATCACTTGGGGAAAAGAAAAATATCGATTACAGTGATCGCAATATATTTGTGATCTCGATTTTATCACCATCACATTTTTATTAATTGATAATAAAAAGTACACAAATCGAGTATATCCCAATATCCCATCCAAGAAATATACGCACCTTTTTCGTCATGATGACCAAATACTTTGTTCGAACAAAAGTCCGAGATCTTCTGTTGCACCCCCCAATTCACCCCTCTCGAATTAGCCAAAGGTTGTGTCGATAGGAATTGTTTCTCCGTCGCCAGAGGGTTTTGGTTTTTTCTCTCGATTCGAGAAATTATCAAAGTCAACAAAATCGGCCGTCCGAATGCCCGGGGAAGGTGAAGACCGAATGAATGCTATACTAATTATATACAGGAAGAATAAGAGATGAGTGGAGTACTTTCGTCTATGCCATTTTTCTTTCTCCTGGCATGATGCAATCGACCCTTGCTTGTATTCCAATCAATTAAATGCGTTAAACGATCTTCAAAATCTAAGCCGATTAAAGCAAGCACGAAGAATGTTGATTCCTTTGAGCTTGTCAGATGGTTGGTTTTTAATTAAAAAAAGAGATGCACCAACTTCCTATAGACCGTTCTCAATAGTCAATAAATAGTTTGAATGAATTTATTAATGTAACGTTTGTGTGTGTGATGTCGAAAAGATTATTTTTCTTACTTCCATTCAGGTGATTCTATATTTAAGTTCCAATAAATAGATATATCTTGTGTAGCGTCAACAAGTTTCAGCTTATAATAAGTTCTTCTGGTGTATGTACTGTATGTAATGTAATCTATAGATTACGAGACGTGAAAATTTGCCGACACACACATCAGGAAATATTATCTTTAACGGGTAAGCACTGTTTGAAGGTAGGTGACAATTTCATTACATGCTACAGTTTTTACGCTTAATTTTTTTTTTTTTAAGAAAAAAAAGAAACAGCGTTTTTCTGCCCTGGACATAAAAAGCAAAGATGTCATCATATGTTACACGAGATATAAATATTTACATTACGGTAGATCATGATTACGCTAATTTTCGGAATAATTAACACACTAACTACACACACACCCTGCTCAGAATTTTCTGTTGCGATAACCATCAGCCGATTTATCGACCGTATCTGCTGGCATATACAAATTATTTGAAACATTCCTCCCTCGTCTCTTGGCTTTTTTTTTTTTTTGTTGTTGTTGTTGTGTTGTTGTTGGTTGTTATTGCTGTCACAAGGTCCTGCCTTCCTGGTCGCTTTGCTAATAGAACGAACGAGGACCGTCATCCCTGCAACAGGTCACTCCCTTTCCTCCAAAAATAACCATAGAATCACGGAAGACCCTCGGTTACAAGGTATCAAACGCAACCTACGATATTAGATGATGATGCATTGCATTGGAAAACGTTGATATGTGAGAACTTAGAATAAACCACATTTTTGAATAAGAAGACAGATGGTATGGTCAATTGCGCTATTTTCAGAATTTCATTTTAGTAAACTAGCTGATAACTACAATGAAATTGGATCCTCGCCAAAAATTTTAAAAAAGTAAAATAGTCCGAAATTCGACGGGAACTTCCTATTAAAGTTACTTAATGAGGTATTTTTTCGACAAAACCGTGAAAAAGAACAAGAATTGCGGGACAACGATATCACCTCCATGCCGACGCTTGGAAAATGGTTGACGATATAGAGTCTTAATCGGTTTCTTATTCTCGACTAATTTACTCTGATTCATCATAAAGGACCCATTTTGGATAACAAATTCTTGAAACTCGGGATATATGTTGGCTCAAAGTGATTTTCAAACACATGGTAAACTAAAGGATACAGTGAATAAAAAAGGATTGTCGGGATGTGACGGTCGTGAGCTGAACCAGACATCTTATCTTCCGCCCATGCACCAGTAGAGCAAACCCTTTTTGAAACCTATCACACAATAATCATATTATTATTATTATTAAATCCCGAATTATCAATGACAAAATCGGTGATAGCTCGGTGAATTAATTGGTGATAAATTGGTGAGATCCCTATCAATGAATGCGTTTTTGATATCATAGCATGACCGTTCATCTGGGAATTACACAACTACCGGCAATTCTCCGACGTACATAAAAACAGAAGTACTGTATGTGCGAGCACATCTAATAAAAAAACACTAATTAATATTGTGTTCAGATGTAAATGATCTTTGCAACTTGGGACGATAATAACTAAATTTTAGTATAACCTTGAAGATATATTTCGTACTAACGTATTTTATTCGGTCATACATTATGATAAATTTTATATTGAGACATGACCTTTCCATTGTCCAAATGTTCTTTTTTAATAAACAATACGGAATTGGTAAATTCTTTAGCCTTTTATGGAAAATAACTTTAAAAAAGGGAGTTTCATTCCTTCTCCTTCAAAAATTATATGAATATGGATCTAATTTATTTTCCTTTTCTTTTTTTGATCGGTACAAGAGATCTTTATGTATTTAATCAACGCTCATCTTTGACCATCTAATAAGAAAGCTTGCAAATATATTTTCTTTGATGAAATTGTCGTCCAATGTCCGTGTCGCTTTTCATTAGTCTAGACGAATTGCAAAATTCAGATTCCACTTTTCGTAGGGTCAACCGTGACACAGATATGTGGTTTCAGATATTTTTTTTGAATTACCGTTATTTCCATTTGCCAAGCTCATTGGCTGAAATTTATTTACTAATTTTACCAGGTCTCGGATGCAAAAACTAGGAAATTTATTATCTCCATAAATTTTATTTATCCATCTTATTATATGAACCCATAAACAATTAAAATTCATTGTTCCGCCAGAGCTTGTTCCCACCTCATAATGAATTCAGGAATAAAAACAATGTTCATAATACTCATGTTTTGTTTATCATGTTAAATAACATCATTCCATTCAAGAATTCGACCATGGAATACACGAAGTGCCGTACCTCCAACAATCTAACCTGTCATTCATGTAAAATGAACAATCGAACGATGTCGCAATATGTCGATTTCATTTTTCGAATGATTTCAAAAAATTGTCAAAGCATTCCCTTCGGAATATCAAAAATTGTCAAAAGCACCCTTTCGGAATATCAAAAAATAAACTAATCATACATTGTATCATGATGAATTAATCAATCCTATTTCCATCACTAATCCGTTTCTTTTCTAAAAAATAAATAACAATCTTCTAAAAAATAATATACCGTTTAACTTTATTTTTTGGCATGAATGGGCGATGATATCTTTTTTCATAAAAATTTTTCCAAAAAATCGGATGATTCGGTGTTATACTGTATAATTCCCATAGTAATAAATTCGCTTCGGATTTTTTAAAAATAGAAATTGTTAATCCCCACGTTAATTTATATTTAAAAAATTTAATATTAGATGTTTTATCTTTATTTTTATGATATTTGAATAGCAAGTTTAAAAAAAGAATCGCATTTATAAATTTAACTGACATATAAACCTTGATTTCAAACATACGT